GTCGATTGATATATCTAGAGGTGTGCGTCAAGGGGATCCCGCATCTATGGTTCTCTTCTGCTTGGGCACGGCTCCGCTTCAGGTATATATAAGTAAATGCTGCTGGCAGTGTATGCACCTCAAGCTTGAATATGCTGATGACTGTTTGTATGGCATTCGTGACACCCCTCGACACCTGCGGCACCTATTCCGTGTTATCATGGCATTGGAGTCGGCAGTGGGGCTGGCGTTGAACCTACGCAAGTGTCTTGTGCTGGTCCAGTCGACTGTATTCCAGGCTAGGCTGCAGCAGTACATCCTAGAGCAGTGCCCTGAGCTGTCTCAGATTCAAGTTGTGCGCTCGTGTAAGTACCTGGGCATGATGATTGGTGTCTCTGCCCACGAATGCTACTGGTCGAAACCGGTGGCGAAGTTCGCTCCGCGGGTGAGAGAGGTGCGTCAGGCTGGTCTAACTCTTGCGAAGAACATCCCGACTTTCAACACTCTATGTCTTAGCATACTATCCTTTGTCATGCAGTTTGCACCTCTCTCTAGGCCGGTGATTGCAGCGTATAAGAATGCCTTGCAGCTCTTAGTGGTGGGGCCGCGCTTTAGTTTCAAGTGCGAGATGCTGACGAATATGACTTCTCTGGGGTTCCCTGGTCAGTTCAAAAACTTGGAGGCGGTGTCTCGGGCTACGAAGTTCCGACTGGTCTCGAAGTGCTCGGAGATTCTTGAGATTCTTGAGGATCTGGAAAAGACCTTTGCTTCCGATGATGCATGTATTATCAGAACTATGTCTGGTTGGGCCAGTTTTAGCTTCGCTCCTGCTCTGCTTGCGACATTCAGAAGTGTTCGTGGTACTTTGTCCTGCTCGCCCTCGGGAATACCTGTCGGGGGCAAGAGCTTCCAGGCAGCTGTCTACCGCTTGATTGCTGCATCGCCTGAATTTGCTCATGGTGCGAAGCAGGATTTGATGATCAGGATGAGGAGGTGGTTGAATGAGGTTCCCGAGGATGCCGCGACACAAGTTTCGAAAGCTGTGAAGTTTGTTGTCAAGAAGACTGGGCCCTACATGGGCCTGACGTTTCTCCGTGTGCTTGCTCGAGGTTTGAACACGTCGGCCAGATTTCACACCCAGTCGCATGGTTGCCTGTTTGGATGCTGTTCTGATTCCTTCGACCCTACCCTCTCTGACCTTGATGATATTGCCCATTATGCGAGATGTTCCCGATTCTATTGGATTTGTGAACATTGGCTCGGAGAACTGATGCCCCCCTTCTCGGAATCCCCTCCTTGGCTGTCTGCTCTGCTTCCCACGTCTCTGCGACCTCGCACGGTGCTACTCATATCGGCTGCTATAATTGACGCGTTTATGTTTGCTCACAACTGTCGTCGTCACCCTGTCTCTTCTGGCAGTGTGTCTCAGCAGATACATGCCCGCATGCGGGCCACGGCGCGCAGGCATAGGCCTGTTGCTGAAGCCTGGCGTGTTGAGAGACGGGTGCGTTTGCTTTTCGAGGCCCCCCCTGGGGCCTAGTCTGAGCATCTCTCAGTGTCTGGGGTGGGGCCCTGGACTCGTCTCTGCTGATGATGTGGGCGCTCGATAGTGCCTTCTTCTTTCCAGAGGCCTGGTGCGACTCCCGCGCCTGGGCTCCGACAGAGGGCGTGGGGGGGGGCCCCGCGTGGGGGAACGCGGCTGTCTCGTGCCCTGCCTGCCGTTCGGCAGGCAGACGCTCCTCACTGACAGTGGCCCCCTCGCCACGATATCCGTGGACTGCTCGACCAAGGTGTCGACCGCCTTCAACTGGGACCCCCTGGAGCCTCCTGAGCCCTTTGGGTCAAAAAAATATTGTCCTCGCTCAGGCGGGGCCTCCCTGGAGGGGTGGGAGGGGCACGAAACCTGATAAATAATAGGGTTCGCGAATGCTGTCCTCGCTCAGGCGGGGCCTCCCTGGAGCGGTGGGAGGGGCACGAAACCTGATAAATAATAGGGTTCGCGAATGCTGTCCTCGCTCTGGCGGGGCCTCCCTGGAACGCTGGGAGGGGCACGAAACCTTATAAATAACATGGTTTGCGAATGCTGTCCTCGCTCTGGCGGGGCCTCCCTGGAGGGGTGGGAGGGGCACGAAACCTAATAAATAATATGGTTCGCGAATGCTGTCCTCGCTCTGGCGGGGTTTGCGAATACTGTCCTCGCTCTGGCGGGCCTCCCAGGAGCGGTGGGAGGGGCACGAAACCTGATAAAATAATATGGTTTGCGAATGCTGTCCTCGCTCTGGCGGGGCCTCCCTGGAGGGGTGGGAGGGGCACGAAACCTGATAAATAATATGGTTTGCGAATACTGTCCTCGCTCTGGCGGGGCCTCCCTGGAGCGGTGGGAGGGGCACGAAACCTGATAAATAATATGGTTTGCGAATACTGTCCTCGCTCAGGCGGGGCCTCCCTGGAGCGCTGGGAGGGGCACGAAACCTGATAAATAATATGGTTTGCGAATGCTGTCCTCGCTCTGGCGGGGCCTCCCTGGAGGGGTGGGAGGGGCACGAAACCTGATAAATAATATGGTTTGCGAATGCTGTCCTCGCTCTGGCGGGGCCTCCCTGGAGCGGTGGGAGGGGCACGAAACCTGATAAATAATATGGTTTGCGAATACTGTCCTCGCTCTGGCGGGGCCTCCCTGGAGCGCTGGGAGGGGCGCGAAACCTGATAAATAACATGGTTTGCGAATGCTGTCCTCGCTCTGGCGGGGCCTCCCTGGAGGGGTGGGAGGGGCACGAAACATGATTAAAAATATGGTTCGCGAATACTGTCCTCGCTCTGGCGGGGCCTCCCTGGAGCGGTGGGAGGGGCACGAAACCTGATAAATCATATGGTTTGCGAATGCTGTCCTCGCTCTGGCGGGGCCTCCCTGGAGCGGTAGGTAGGTATTGTATGTTATTGTATGGTGTGGTAGGTATGCGGTGATGGTGTATGTATGGTTTCCTACGTGCTTGCCTGACTCCGGTGGTCTGCTATAGTATGGTCTGGTATTGTATGGTATGGTATAGTATGGTATGGTAGGAATAGGAAGAGGTATGGTATAGTATGGTATGGTAGGAGTAGGAAGAGGGAGCGGGAGGTGGGAAGGTGGGAAGGTGGGAAGGTGGGAAGGAGAGGGTGTCCTGGGAAAACAAGAACCCCACTCAGGATGTGGGGAACAATCCCGTTGTGATATCTCCACGACGACCCTGACGTCCGTTCAAGCTGGGTTCTCAGACCCCTCCCAGGGTCCATCCCGGCCAATCTTCCATCCCGGACCGATTTCGGTTGGCTCCAGGACCGAAGCGGAGCCCCTCCGAGGCGGGGTTCGTCCACGACCGCTGTCTGCGGTGTCGATCTTCGGGGACCTCGGCAGGCGGTGCATATGGATGTGGGCATGGATATAGATATGGAAGCACGTACTTTTGTATGCATACGTACATGTATACGTACATCGATACGTTTGTTGGTGTATCAATGTGCATGCATGTCTGCACCTGTGTCTGCTGCATTCGGGCTCTGGGTGGGGTGGGGGTAGGCAAATACTCATATCCATGGAATACACGTCCACCACTTGTCGACGTCCCCGAAGATCGGATCCCACAGGCAGTTGTGATGGATGATTTCCCGCCTCACAGCCCCCCCCAGAGACTGGAATCGAGACGCCGTCTTCCCGCCCTCACCCTCAGGGCCTTCTTTTTGTCATTCTTTCGCCGACTGCCAACACCCGCGGGACCAGGGCACTGCCCACCGAGGCCCCTCCTCCTCTCCATGGGACCAACGCTCTCAACCAGCTTCCTCTCCTCCTCCTCTTCGCCCTATTCCTTCATCCATCACTTCACCCTTTCCCCAACACCACCACCCCTGCCTTCTCCTTCCCCGCCTCATCCTCGCCTTCTTGTCCTCTTTTCTTTATTTGCAGCCTTACAGATGCGGTCGGGTCCACCCAGGCCTCTGCTTGTTCACAAACAATCCAGCCCTCTCCCTATCCTGCTCCTGTTCTCCTTCCAATGCATGCTTCTCCACCCTCGTTCTTCTTCTCCTCCTCCTCCTCCTCCTCCTCCTCCTCCTCCTCCTCCTCCTCCTCCCTATCCTCATGCTCCTCCTCTTCGCCCTCCCCCGCACGCCTCCCACACGTTCCGTGTCCCCATAAGGCCATGCCCTCCTCCTCCTCCTCCTCCTCCTCCTCGCTCTCCTCCTCGCTCTCCTCCTCGCTCTCCTCCTCCTCGCTCTCCTCCTCCTCCTCGCTCTCTTCTCCCTCCTCCTCCCCCTCCTCCTCCTCCTCCTCCTCCTCCTCTTCCTCCTCCTCCTTCTCTTCTCCTCCTCCTCCTCCTCCTCCTCCTCCTCCTCCTCCTCCTCCCCCGCCTTCTCGCTTCCCTTGCTTTATGTCCCCTGCTCGCTCCCCTCACACCTCCGATCCCGTCGTTCGCATTGTGCTGGCGCTCCCTGATCTGTATACTGCTTAATGCTTCGCGTGAACGTACCAACGCGTACACAGTGCTGTGATTCTTTTAGCATGACAAACTTTGGCACGTCATTTTCCCTTCTCAGACCTCCGCGTATGCTGACTTATTTCGAGCAGCTCAGGCTGCCATCAGCGTGCAGGTGTGATCGGCACCTACTGCGGCTCATGCTGCTTGCGCTCCTCGCTCTCGTCGCTTTCCTTTTTTCCAGGGCGCAACTCCTGGGAGGTTGAATTCAGAATCGGCGCTGGTATATCCCCAGTCAAAAAATTGCCGAATCTGGCTTAGCCTGGTCAATGCGGCCTACTTCTCTTCATTCCAGCATGATTCCAATGATTCTGGCCCAATCCTGGGCTTTGTTCGGCCTGTTCCAGCTCAGGGGCCGCCTAATCGGGCAGAGTAGCCCCTAATCGTTTTGACGAAGACCTCCCAGGAGTTGCCTCCTTCTCCTCCTGTTCTTCCTCCTCCTCCTCCTCCTCCTCTTCCTCCTCCTCCTCCTCGCCATCCTCTCCGCCGCCCCGCCCTTCCCGTGGGCGGCAGGGCGGCCTCTGCCGCATCTGCCTGGACGGCGACTGTGACGAGCAGGGCCCGCTGATCCGGCCGTGCGGCTGCAGAGGCGGCCCTTCGTCGTCGTCGTCGTCGTCGTCGTCTTCGTCGCCGTCGCCGTCGTCGTCGTCGTCGTCGTCGTCGTCGTCGTCGTCGTCGTCGTCGATCGCGGATTTGCTCGTGGTGTTCGTCGCGGATCGTCGTCTTCCCTGGTTGTCGTCGATCGTCTTCGATCGTGTCGGTCGTCGTCGTGGTGATTGATTCGTGGTGGCCATCGTCGATCGCCGTCGATTGTGGCCGTCGATTGTGGTCGTCGCCGTGGGCATTGATTCGTAGCGATCGCCCTCGATCGATCCTCGCGGATCGTGGGGGTGGTTTCGCTGTTGTCGAAATCGCGCCAGATGTTTCTGTTGGCTGATCTCGGCCCTGGGTCCCCCGTTCGGGTCCCAGGGGAGCCAGGCGTCTGTCAGGAGGACGGCGGGGGACCGTCCCGAGCCGGATTTTGAGTGGAGTTTGAGCGGATTTTGTTCCCAACCATCCTGTGGAATATTGACTGCGGGCCCTGTCAAACAGCGTGGTGACCACACCGCGTGGTGAGTCAGTGGGGATTCGGGGTCACCGCACGGTTTTGGGACTCGGGTCGTTCACTGACGATGCGTCGGACGATTGGGACCTCCAGGGTCCCATAACCGTGTGGTCACGGACCGTGCGGGTCCTTCAGGACTCCGAGGTCACCGCGCGGTCTGTCACAACACGGCTTTGGGAAGCCCGATGGATCCGTAGCGACCCGCGTCTCACCTCACCTCGCCTTACCTCTTTCCTCTCCTTCCGCTGCATTTCCTCCTCCGCTTCGTCGTCCTCCTCCTGGCGGCCACGGACCTCCCGCGCGGCCGACGTGTCATCGCCCGAGTTGCGCGTCTCGCAGCTGACCTCCCGCACACTGGGGGGCCTCATCGGCGGCATGGAACCGATCTTTCTTGGGGACGCTCGCCCTTCTCCTCCTCCTTCTCATCCCTCCCTCCCTCCCTCCCTCCCGCCTCCCTCCCCTCCCCTTCCTCCCCCCCGCCGCACACCTCTCACACGTTTCGTTGCCCCATAGGGACCTCCCCGAAGGCCCAAACAGCAGGGTTCGTATGGCGTTCCCCTCGGCGATGTCGGCACACCCCTCACACGTCTCGTGGCTCCATAGGAGGCCCCGCCGAATGCCCAACTGGCAGGGTTCGCATGGCGTCCCCGTGCCCATGTCGGCACACCCCTGATTCGTTTTGTGGCCCCATAGGGAGCTCCACCGAAGGCCCCAGCGACAGAGCTTGCATGTCCCACTTCGGCACACCCCTCGCACGTTTCCTGGCCACCTCCGTGGGCTGCTGGGGGCGCGGGCCTGCGCGGACCTGAAGGAGAGCTCCCCGGTTCCGGGGATTGCGAACTGCAGAGCTGTCGTCACTTTCGTGGTCTCCTGGGAGGTCCAGCGGAGTGACGTCCCATCCAGACCAGAATGAGATCTCGCCGTCCCTGGGAACTGCGACCTGCTGGGTCCAGCGCAGTGTGGTCCCACCCAGACCAGGATGAGAGCTCGCCGTTCCAGGGGGCTGCGGGCTGTGATCATGTCGCAATTTTCATGGGCTCCCGGGAAGCCCAACGCAGAATGAGAGCTCGCCGTCCCTGGGGGCTGCGAACTGCGCACCTGTCCTCACCATCGTGGGGGCTCCTGGGGCGGGAGAGGGGTCAGCGCGGTGACAACATACGCGGACTCAGTTCCGACCTCGCGTTCCCTGGGGGCTGCGAGGTGCGAAATTGTCGCCACAGTCGTTGCCTGCTGGGGGCCAGCGCAGCGTGGCCCTATCGAGTCCACTCTAATCCTTCATTCCTTCCCTTTCCGTTTACGGTGTGGGCGTTCGGAGGCTTCAGACCCTCGAGGGTTCCTGATCTGACCAGGGCGGCGGTGATAATGGCCAATCTACGGTTGGAGTTCCACCAGCTTCCAGGCCCTGGATTCGTTATCCAGTGGTTCCTTATTCAATGCCCTCACCGTATTCACCAGCTTCTGCCAGTCTCCCACACCAGCCTGTCCCCTGTCCTGCGTCTTCCCTGCCCCATTCTGTTCCTACACCCTTTTGCCTCGTGCCGTTCTTTGACCATCGCCGTGTGTCCTCGCTCCTTCTCTTGACCGTCGTTGTTGTCCCCGTCTTCGCCTTCCAGGCCTCGCTCGCCTCGCGCCTCCGAGAGGACTTGACGCCGCCACGGCTCGGTTCCCCGTGGAGGCGCGTTCGACTCGCGCCCAAGAGGGTGTGCGGGGAGGGGGGGGGGGCCTGCAGGGCCAACCTTCACGGGCGGTCGCGACGCAGGAGCAGCATCGCGTCTCTGGGGAGCGCGGCCCCGCAGCTCGGCCTCCCGAGGCCCTCCCGGGGCTCTGGGGCGGTCAAAGCTGTTGGGCGTCGCGTAATGGGGGGGGAGGGGGCGATGAATGGAGGGGGGGGCAGCGAGGGTTGCAGAG